CTCAGGAACACCAGAGTAAGTCAGTACAAGATTGAAAACTGCCCCATAAGTATATTTGACATGCTAGTCGGGTATTGTTACTTGTATATGTGAAAACAAAGTTATTAAAATTAATAGCAAAACTGATGAAAGTCACCAATAAACGTGTATAAGTGTTATATCGTCACTGCAAAAATAATGAGTGTTGTCTTTAGTATTAACACTCAAATACGTGATATCTGTAATAGCGATATTGTCTACGTTCCACCGGTGAGTAAGCGTTAGCCTTACTATCTCGTAGTATAAATGTTGCAAGAAATTGTATTTCTGATGACATCACGATACAGTTTTTTACGATGCATCACGTCTGCACCAGCGCTTGATAACAGCCTTGTGTTTGGGTGTTTCAGTAGTTTAAATTGCTGTTCTTGATGTTGTTGAATAAACTTTGATACTATGAACAATATAAGGTTGTATGAGAGTATGACGTAAGAACGGTAACATGCGTTAATGTATATCTGATATAAATAAATATATACAATAGGATGACATAAATAGAACAATGAGTAGTACGTCCAGATTAGTGTATAGGCAACATTTAAAAGTAGATGAAAGAACACAATCGTCCGGAATACAATGTATAATTCTAGTGCACTTCCATGGGACTATATAGCATACAATAAGCTTTCGGGTCCCGTTTGGGTCGGTTTTGGTGGCAGCTTAGATATCCATAGAGTAGGTTCATCTAGGAATCTCCCATATAACTGGGGCTCCTCTTCAATTTAAATGGAGTTACTTGTTTCTTTCAAAACTATACAGTTTTAGAGACTAAGCATTAGTCTGAATAGATATCACCAGTTTGGAATTTGAAACTAATCTGTTTACAGTAACAGAACACTGTTTAAGTGTCATGTACAAATGAGAAAGTGGAATCCCGTCAATTAGGCGGACGAACCTTAAAACTATTAATAAACATTAAAATAAGCAATATCGGGAAAATGTATATGCATATACTATCTGGCCATAAACACCAAGATCACCTTTTACAAAAATAAGTTTTAAAAGCCGGTTGATATTCTTTTGCGTATTTGACGATTATATAACTTTCGAAAGTATAAATCCTTTTCCTATACTCAGACGTTCCTGAGCCTTGCGCTTTCCTAATTATTTTGACTAAAATTATTACCGTTATCATTGTATTTGTTAATGGGAAATACGCGCGGATCAAGTACGTGCCATAAATTAAAGCGACATTGTACGATTCCGAACTCATCACGAGACTGTATAGTGGAAACAATTCGCGAAATCGCGCATGCACAGAACGGAAAATTTGGACAAGGCATTAAGCAATCCGCATGCGCAGAACGATTGATTTCAGTACTTCCGCTAAGCGCTTCGAGTACAGCGTCAAACTCGGGCCTGTAATCTAACACGCGAGAACTGACCAATGAAATCTGAGAAGTAGGAATACCGGTAGACGCTGTTGCTTGATTGACAATGCCAATCAAGAAAGGGAGGAGCTTGATGATATCGTTCTCTCCCAGTAAATTCCGATGTCAAATAACGACGTTATTTGGAGGGAAAAACGATGGTTTGAAAGCGTCCAAATAACGTCGTTTTTCCGTCCAATGACCATATACGGACTGTAAATGCAGAAATGGTGTTTTTCATCTGTTTCAAGAGTTTTGTTTAAAGTTCATTTTCTATATTTTGGTAATGGTTTAAGTTTCATTTATTTTAAAAAACAAAGTTTTTCTTAGTTAAATATGTGGTCCACTTAAAGTTGTCTTCATTTGAACCTCCTCACTTTGGCTTGTGAGTTCAAATCCCCATTTCTCAATAAACTTTTGCAGATAAATTAATTACTTGTTTACAGCCTCAATTCCATTTCAAGTCACATGATCTAAAAAGCACATGTTCCCCACACAATCAGTCAAATCTCCATCTTGTTAGGACCACGGTTACATTCTCCAAAGCGTAAAGCAACACAAATGTAAGTAAACTCATATTTTTCAATGCCAAAGTTAATATTATTGTATCTCTCAAGTGTTCAATGCATTTATAACTTCAATTCAGTAACCATTTGGCAGTTGTAAGCAATTTTGAGTATTTTGTCAAACAGTTGTTTGTTATTCTTTTAAATTGGTAATTTTGACTATTTAATTGGTTCAGCCCAAAGTTAGGATTGTATTTTCTTTCTATTTTAGTTTTCTGAACCTCACCCACCAACGTATTCATCGTAAACAATGTTAACAAAGATAGTCGTCTTATAACGAGACTGAATTTGCCTCATTATAACGCCTTAGAACGTAAACATAGTTTGAAGTTGTATTTTGAAGTCGTCTTTACCGTTCAACGTCAGCTCTTCAATTCAACTCCTTCACCAACGATTATATCTGAATGGATATTGTTCAACGTTTGTACTGAACATTGTGATTAATACTCAACATCATATAATAAAATTCCCTGTGGGTGCGAGTGTCAGAAGTTTGTGTTTCTTGCATCTACACGGACAAAAACGACGTTTTCGTGTTTGCAGTGTAATGTGTCACGCTGGTAGAGACATGTGCAAGGCCTACTTGGCTCTCCCCGACCCGTGAAGATCCGGGATAGAATAGGTCTTCATCAACCCATGCTTGTCGTATGAGGGATCGGGATCGAGTCGTCAGGCTCGCTGACTTGGTTGATACATGTCATCGTATCCCAATTGCGTGGATCGATGCTCATGATGTCAATCACTGGATTTTCTGGTCCATACTCGAGTATCTACAGATCGCCGTTATAAAGCGTGAAGGGCGGTCGGGTAGCCTACTGGTTAAAGCGTTCGCTCATCACGCCGAAGACCCGGGTTCGATTCCGGACATGGGTACAATGTGTGAAGCCCATTTCTGGTGTCCCCCACCGTGATATTGCTGGAATATTGCTGAAAGCGGCGTAAAACCATACTTACTCGATCACAATAAAGCGGGAAAGTTGCTGAGTGCGTCGATAAACAAGAAACGAACAAAACAAAACCTGGCTCTCCCTTCTCAACAGGTACTTGTAGCTGAACAAGTCAATATAACAAAGTATCATGTTGTATAATGGCTAAAACAAGGGCCGATAATACCATTATCTTTGTTAACCTTTAGAACTAAGTCTTAGCTCATGTGTCTTGTTTGTCAAACAATTACTGGTGCTAGTTTGTTTAATGTCAATGCTTTCGGTAAGATGGAAGCCTACACTTAAAACAATAGCATGTAAAGATATTGATGCGCTGCAGTAAATATCATACTGCAAGAAGCAGTAAAAACATTTATCGAAAAATGTCCTCATATAATAAATAATTTCGTTTACGCCGAGAAGAGAAGTGTAGAGAGAAGGCTGGAAATGGTTGATCATTGATTAAAGGTGAAAGTTTATACTTAAATTTGTATACATATTTGAATATTTACGGGTATGAGTTGAATATGGGTAAAAAGTTGGTTCAGGTATTCCGCCATTTACAGTGAAATAAGCATGCGTCATCAATTACGCTGTATGTTCACCCATTGACTTAAATGTTAAATAAATCTTTAAACCACGGCCCCTTTGTCCGTGGTCAAACTGACTGAATTTTTAGTTTAACGCCACTTGGCAATGACTGAACTTCTTTTTTTCCCTATCATGTATCTTGATGATAGAATAATTTCATGAAAAACGTTGTCGCCAGCTGGTTTCGAACATGCAAAGTCAGCACTGTAGGCTAACGACACGGCGACATTGGAGAAAGGGAAGAAAATTAACAACTAAATATTTACTTACATCAGCACCAATTGCCTTATCCCTTTATGAACTGTGTTTTATGCAATGTTTATACAGTGCATTCTCTATCAATACTCTGTGCATTCTACTATATGTACAGTACTTGTGATTTTGTAGCTTTTCGTTCAACAAAACGAACAGATACAAGAAATTACTGTTATGTTGATCAGCGCTATATTTGCTCATAATAGGCCCATCAACATGGGCAAGTAATATTTAGGTGATTGATAATTAATGTGCTCGAGTTGGTCCAAAATGAATGGTATACTTGCCCCGGGACATGCATTTCCTAACCCAAATCGGCGAAGTGCAAAGTGCACGTGCGCAAGGCTCGGGGAACACATTTCACGCGCTTCACGCAGGGGCCACCTCACACAGTGTTCTCACAGTTGGGCTGTCATAAATGTTTTAGTATGTAAGGCCACTCGGATCGCAGGTGCTGATCGTTGAATCGGTTGAATAACTGGACTCTGTGCGCCTCACGGTTTAATTATCATTTCAACGATTAGACACTGGGTCGTCTCGGCCTAACCTATACATAGTGATGATCGTACTGGTCAGTATCAGTGTCTTTTTCTCGAGGAATCTGTAATGAACTCTTTAGAGATATAAGAAACTGATCACTTTGAAAAATATGTCATAAAAATATAAAAGCATTATGCGTGAAATATTCACAAATACATTGCCCAGTCACAACACATAACGCGACATCCTCCCGTCCAGCGAGTGTGCTGAAACTGCGGCCGGTGATTGAAGCGGACGTAGAAGGTACCTGTTCACACTGTGTCTGTTGAACACTCACGTGTAAAAATATCGTCAAACAACAGCTTTTTCTGTCTTATTGTTTACAAAATTGTACAAGAAGAGTTTAGAATAGTAACAATAATAGTTTTATCGTGAAATAATGAAGATACATATGCGTGTTCCGGCAGCAAGTGTCTATTTCTGACAACTGACAGCAGAGCAGCTTAACTAACATGTTTTATGCAGTAAAGATTTCATTGTCAATCCATACAAGCATTTATGTAAAACATTTTAAATACCCATACAAATACTTTCACAGTGAAATTATTTGTATTTTATCACAATAACAATGAAATTCACAGACAGACGAACATGACAGCCGATCGTTCAGTGTGGTGTTTTGAAACATTGAAACGAGGTTCACAATGAGCTGCTCCATTTGTTATCTGAAGACAGGAAATTTGGTAAACTGTAAACAAAATGTATATTTCCAGGTCCTAAACTACAACTGGACGCTGCTCGAGCCAACACAGACTACTGCCACGTAACTACAGACGGTGAGCTGGTCAACTCGCGGCCCGCCACACGACACAGAGACAGCGGCAGGTTACGGAGATACCACGGCACCTGTAGTTCCACCCCCATCCCCCTTCCTCCACCCCCCTCCAATGTCACCCCGGCCCCACACACACCACGATACTGGGAGACCCACTCCAGGGTGGGTGTGGTGGGTGGTGGGTGGCGGCCTGTTGTCCTGGAGATGGGTGTGGGGGAGGAGAGCCAGGTGGACAGTGGGCAGTATGTTCGTGAACAGCGCTGCTCCTGGTGTGTCTGTTTAGAGAGATGTCTCACACATCGGGGGAGTCTCTGTACCTGCGTGTGTCAGCCGGGGGAGCGGGGGAAGTGTTACAGAAACACAATGTCTGCCACACGCGGCACACAGGCCACCCTCCACTATGGCGTTGTGCTGGACGTGGGGAGGGGGAGACTCGCCTTCATCGATCTCGACAGGGAGATTGTTTTGGCCAAGTTGGATGTTGAGTGGAGGGAGTCTCTTCTCCCCATGTTTAGTCTTGGGCTGCCAGATATCTGCACAGTCAACATGAAGTTGGTCAGCGGGGTGGACATCACCATGACTGACTCCAAGAAGTCACTTATTTATAACGCCCTCACATAGGAAATAAAATAAACATGACATTGTGTAAACTTGTAAGTGTGACATATTTATTTAAACTGTCAAATGTAATGTGATTGTATTGTTTGAGGCGGACATAGAAGTTACCTGTCTATGTGTTGTTTGTTGTGTACAAGAATGTAACAAGGTTAGCTAAATGTGTTGTTTTCTACTGGACTGGTTTCTGTTGTGTATTAGAAACATTTTGCATCCTCACATGAGTATTGTTATGAATATGAATCTGCGGTAATCTATCAGTTTATCACACATTTCCTACATTTCCGGGAAATGACACAACAATCAACTGAGTGCACAAATTCATCAAAAGTTGTTTCAAATCATGAATTTGTTGACATGTTTCGTTTCTTCTCTGTAATATAATTGTTTTAAATCCCCACATGAATAGTGTTGTGCTGAAAGTATTGCAGTTGTGCCTCCACATTGCCACATTTGATGTCGGTGAAGAAATGGGATGAAAGTGATTGAAGCGGACTTAAAATGTACCGGTGTATATGTGACGCGTGTACGGAAATGCAATCAAGTTGGCAGAATTTTCTCTAATTTGTTATATTTTGGTGTCTTTCAAACTTATTTTGAATATCCACATCCACACTTTTACAGATTAATTGAAGCTGAAAAATAAGAACACAACCTTGATACAAGTCGTTAACAAGCGGAAATGTCATCCAATCAAGTTACAGTCTGTTAGTGGATAAGGGGCACGGGTGGCCCAGTCGTCTAAGGCGCCGCGATTCGCTATGATGAGTTGCGTCCCTTGGGCACGCCAGAAACCTATGATTGTGGGTTCGAATCCCGGTACGCCCCAATTATGTTTCTAGGTTTGTCAGCACCATACCCGTGCTCGAGGGTTTCACCGAAGTGGTAAACGTCTAAGAACTGCATCACTTCGGGCTTTCCTCCCACATCAAGCTGACACGCCGTGATATAACTGGAATACTGTTAAAAACGGCGTTAAACCCAACTCCCTCATTCACTGCTAGTGGACATGGCCTCAGTTTTCTCCGGTTTATGGAAACATCCAGTATGGAATCACTTGCAATTATTGTTTAACACGTGCATGTAAAACAAATTGTTCAATTCCGCTTTCTTTTGCGGTAAACTGACGTTCAGACACAATCTTGAGGCAACGTATACGTCACGAAAATAACAAAACATCAGTAGAACTGTAAGTATGTGGAACATGGCCATGGATAATATATTAATATTTTCCCTGATTTGTTCCCCTTAGCGATAGATTATAAAATGGGAATGGCTCTGTGATCTTGAGTGAATTGGATAAAAATACCGCGTCGAAATGTGTTTTATCATTGCATGTCAGTTTAATATAGCGTTAGAAAGATCAAGTCATGCAAGACTTAGATGTTTACGGCTTAAATGAAATCCACGAGCTCAGTGCTGGCAGACCAAGGGACTTAAACAGGGCAAACTGGCTTTCTTGCAGACAACGAAGGGGTGACAAATACTGCGCAAATATTATAAACATACATTTCCATTTACCTTTAAAACTGTATGCATTAAAACTGTGTCTGTTAAGTTGTTTTTTTGTTTTTATAACTAATATCTGGTTTTAATGAGATTGCCTGCTACTCACAGTTGCACAGTTCCAGCAAAAAAACCACACACGATCTTTTGAGACTGGTAAGTCATTATAGGCGGATGTGGGTTGGTGGGGGTGAATTGACAGGGGATGGGATTGAGGTGGTGAATTGGTGACACATCCCTAGTTTGTTATGGCCCCCAAATAATGTAACATCTTCTCATGCCGGTCCCTATAATAAATGACCAGTCCCCACGTAATGTTCAAACATATATGTTTTCTTATTTGAAACAAATAGCACTGTCTCATTTTTTATAACCTCCTCTCACGCTCAATCTTACCAGCCCCCTCCCCCAAAATAAATGAGTAGTCCCTTAAGCAAAAACATCATTAAGATGTAGGGCTAAGTTTACAGTGTATGACACAATGTATCATGATGCGTCACTATTGTTTCAGGAAAGTCCGATTTCTTATTTTGAGCAGATTACGTATTCCCACTTAGACTCGTTTCAGCCGACTGCTGTTTTTCTACTTTCGCAATCGTGGCGGTTTGCTTCATGTCATACGGCTAGCATGGGTTGTTGAAGATCTTCGCGGGTTATTTCCCATGTATTCTGTTTTCTCTCATGAAAGAACTTTAATTGCCACGTTGTAAAAATATCTTTGTATGTTTGCCCAAGTTTCTTCCTTGTGAATCCACATCCCTGATGGCGTGTTCACTGTGAAAATCATACTGGTATAACGGTAACTAAAAGAGTATTACAGATTACGTGTGTTGGATTGTATCTTATGTGAGTTTACTGGAGAACCGGCTGCGTGTTTTTCTTTTTTAATTCAAGCTCTATTTGTGAGTATATCTCTTTGTTTAAAAATAGTCCTTTATTTAGTAATACTATTGAATTGAAAAGCAAAGAACCGGAATCTGATTCAATATTAGACCTCAATAAATTGATCTCTTTTTGTTTTTGTATCCCTTGCGACAGGATCCGTATATTACACCCGCAACAGCATCCTTATATTACACCCGCGACAGCATCCTTATATTACACCCAAGGAAAATAAATATTTCGCAATAGGACAGTTGGCTGTAGTGGTAAAAGAGAGATAACTCTGCGAGGACTGGAAACCATGCGTGAAACTGGGTAGTTCCCATGTTGATTGGTTGGTTTGTTGTTTAACGCCGCACTCAGCAATATTCCAGCTATATGACGGCGGTCTGTAAATAATCAAGTCTGAACCAGACAATCCAGTGATTAATATCATGAGCATCGATCCAAGCAATTGTGATCGATGACATGCATCAACCAAGTCAGCGAGCCTGACCACCCGATCCCGTTAGTCGCCGTTCACGACAACCATAGATTGCTGAAGACCTATTCTAACCCGGATCTTCACGACTAGTTTTCCAAGCTTCATGTCATACGGCTAGCATGGGTTGTTGAAGACCTTCGCGGGTTATTTTCCATGTATCCTGTTTTCTCTCATGAAAGAACTGAAATTGCCACGTTGTAAAAATATCTTTGTATGTAGTTCCACATATCGAAACAAACATCAGTTGTGTGCCGCTGTTTCTCTCTATTTTATATTTTTATGGATAACGATTTTTAAGAGATGAGCGACTAATATACTTCCTTCGCAGATGGTTGGGATATTTCCTGAACATCATTTAAATATATTTACTCACTGGAAATGCACCTCCCAGATGAAAAAGGTTTAATGGTTGATTTTGATTCATTGTGGGCGGTGGGGTAGCCTAGTTCGATTCCCCATATGGATAAAAATATGTGAAGCCCATTTCTGGTTTTCGCCATCGCGATATTGCTGGAATATTGCTAAAAGCAGGGAAAAACCATACTCACTCATTCTGATTCAAGGAATGGCGCCGTATATGAAGACTCATGTCATATAAAGGGCAGCCATACATTTAGTTTTTATCATGTATTCAATAAAGCTGATATTCAAAGTTGATTTTTTAAGTACTTCAAGAAGCATGATTCTATATGTAACCATTCTGATTATAAAGAGTGACTGCCGTGATATAACTGAATTGTTGACTGAGGCATAAGATAATATCCACTCACACTTTCACTCACTCACTTTTAACTCACTCTGTCACAAGGAATCCTTGTTTATCATTACCTCCGTGTTTGCTTCAGGCTAGGCTCACTCATTCAGGCACTCACTTTTTAACTCACTCTGTCACAAGGTAACCTTCTGAATCATTACCCCCGTGTTTGCTTCAGGCTAGGCTCACTCATTCAGGCACTCACTTTTACTCACTCTGTCACAAGGTAACCTTGCCTATCATTACCCCCGTGTTTGCTTCAGGCTAGGCTCACTCATTCACTCACTCACTTTTAACTTACTCTGTCACAAGGTAACTTTTTGTATCATTACCCCCATGTTTGCTTCAGGCTGGGCTCACCACTCCATCATTCATCATGGGCATACCCCCTAAAGTTGTTGCTGCCACTGTACTTCTACTCAACATAGTTGTGGGGATCGGAGTTATCTGCCTTGTTGCGACAAGAGAGAGACACGAACATAGGACTGATCTGCATATCAGCCAGTCGGAAATATTCAAGGAACGGCTTGATCGGGTAAAAGTTAAATTAAAGATTATCTGAACGCTACGCCCTAACTCGCAGAGTTACGCGCCCTTACTATGCCACTATCCTCTGATTCCTAAGTTCTTCTCGATAAGGATCCATGGTTAGATACATGGTACTCGTCACTCATCAATGTTAACAAGATCGTCAAACATTAAGACGACTCCGTGATATGAGTGAAATAATGTTTACAAAAGCAAGCGTTCATCAAAACTCACGTTATCTCTATTCTGTTTCAAACACATGGTGTATATCTACATTGCAGTCCAAGACTGACATAACTGCACTGAAAAAATGGCGTATTTTAATACATGGTTATAAGCTTTGGTTTGTTATTTAACGCCGCACTCAGCAATATTCTGGACCAGGCAATCCACTGACTGACAACACGAGCATCGATCCACGCAATTGGGGTCGATGACATACATCAAGCAAGTGAGCCTGATCACCCGATCCCGTTAGTCGCCTCTTACGACACGTATAGTCGCCTTTTAGGGCAAGCATGGATTGCTGAAGACCCTTCTAGCCCGGAGTTCACGGGTCATGGGGACCGCCTCCGTGGTCTAGTGGTAGAGCGTCCGCCCGGAGAGCGGAAGGTCCGGGGTTCGATCCCAGGCCGCGTCATACCAAAAGACGTAAAAAGATGGTACTTGTTGTAACCCTTTCTGGCGCTCGGCATTTAGGGGCTAAAACAAGGACTGGTCGGCTCGAAGTCAGTATGCTGTGTCTGAGTGGGATATTCATGTTACACTGCGGCATGGTATCTCAGTGAGCTAGCACTATACATCGGTATCAGTCCGGACTAGAACAAGCAGCCACACAAACACTCACACGTACATGCATGCACGTCGCTAGATAAGTGCAATAATCTTGGACGCGACGTTAAACCCCATTTCACCTCACCTCACCCCACGGGTCATGGTAATAAGCATGATGGCTCTGTCAACTGATATGGGCACTGGATAATGGAACATGATCCCTCATTACTTCAAACGAATTCACCAA